ACACGACACGAAAAGGGAAGCGTGCAAGGTTGAAATCTTGGCTGCACCGCCAACACATCCATATAGCCTGTCTGCAGGAAACCAAGCTGGACGAAAAGAAAATTGCAGAATTGGGACTGTGGTGGGATGGACCGCAACTGTGGTCACCTGCAGTGGGAACAAAAGGCGGGGTAGGGATACTGATCCACAAAGACCTACCAATCGAGATACTGGACCACGCAGTAGATCTATGGGGGAGATGGGCATGGATCAAGTTTGCTGCCAGTGAATCAGAGTGGGCAGTCATGACCATCTACGCTCCTGCAGACAGATCAGAGAGGATCAAGTTCCTCGAAGACCTGATTTCTTACACCCCAGACGTCGACAACCTCCTGATAATAGGCGATTGGAACTGCTCAATAGACGATGTGCTCGGCACAAAGTCTGGCTCTAGAGATGTCATATCCCTCATTGATTACATGACTGAATTGGAACTCTGTGATGCATACAGACTTATGCACCCTACAAACTCGGGATTCACATGGAATTCGGTAGCTACCGAAGGAAACACAGTAGGGGTAAAAAGAAGACTAAACTTTGGATTAATGAGCCCAAGATGGTGGGACGCAGCTATCAAGGCCGAAGTAATTAGACACTCGATGTCTGATCACTATCCCGTGAAACTCTCCTTTCAACTAAACGAGGTGATTGACCGCGGCAGCGTTTTTTTTAGACTGAACGTACAGAATCTGAAGGACCCAGGCCTCACGGCCTGGGTCGACGCCTTTTTTTCAAAATGGCCTCAAGCACATAAATTCTTACCCTCAGCAGGGGAATGGTGGGATGTAGGCACCGCTATCACCGCCAACTTTCTGAGCATTTTTTCCATAATTCTGGCGGTTGAACGCAACAAGGAGGAGCAGACCTGTCTGAGGGACCTGCAGTGGGTAGAGGACAAGATGAATGCACACCCAGTATCAGCAGTAGTATGGGCATAAGTGAGACTGAGATTGTTGGCCAAATGGGATGACATGCAGCAGCAGCAATCAGAAGAATGGTTGGAGCGACTGACGGTGAAAGGCATCTCGGTCTATGACCGGATGACTAAAGAATCCTTCCAAAAACTGCTGCCCAAACGGGCAGCACAGTCCATGAAACTTCTCAGCCACCCCTTCATCCCGGAAGCAAATCAGGCAACATCCTCGAACATGATGTGCACATATGCCGCCATGTACTTTAAGGATATTTTGACATCCCGAAGACCAGGCGAACCCCCCGACTCAGACCTATCTACCACCTCTACCCACTGGAACAATTTCACAGCTAGGCTGCCGCCCATTGGCAAACTAGACTTGGATAGACCTATCACAGTAGAGGAAATAACAAAAACCGCAAAAAACATGGCGAAAGGTAAGGGCCCGGGAGGTGACGGCCTCCCGGTGGAATTCTACCTGCAGCACGGACACATCCTCTACCCACACCTAGCACAAATCTACAATGAAATCCTGTCGGGTGGTCAACTATCCAAAGGTATGGTCCACGGCATCATCACCATTATGTACAAGAAGGGGGATAAAGCGGAGATTAGAAACTGGCGTCCGATTTTCTTATTGAATGTATCATACAAAATTTTGGCCAAACTGTTAGCGAGGAGGCTAGGAAGATACTTACCGGACCTGGTAGGACGGGACCAGGCAACCTTCGTACAAGGACGTTTGATTTTCGATAACATAGTCACAACGATTGAAGCGCTAGAATGGATCCAACAAGAGAACCTAAATACGACAGTTCTGCTACTCGATCTAGAGAAGGCGTACGATAGGGTTAATTGGGCCTATGTCCTCACTTCACTAAAAAACCTTCACTTCGGACAAAACTTCTGTAAATGGGTCATTGCTCTCTACGCCTACTCAACGGCAGCAGTCACGCTGAACGGGCATATTTCAGATTCCTTCCCTCTTACAAGATCACTACGCCAGGGATGCCCCCTGGCTCCACTGTTGTTCGTCATTCAGTTAGAGGTGCTGGTCTGCAACATAAGACAACATCCACATATTCGAGGGCTGCAGATACAACACCGGGAATGTCGGGTAAAAGCTCTGGCGGATGACCTCATGGCCATCTCAGAAAATTCATCAACCTCACTACACGCGTTGAAATCCTGCCTGGTAGAATACAGCCGCCTCTCGGAAGCGGCTGTAAATTGGAATAAATCAATTTATCTCTTGCCGGACAGCTATACGTTAGTAGTGGAATGGGGATTGAAGAGGGTGGCAAGCAATGGCTCAGAGAGATACTTGGGAGTGCAGGTAACGCTTGGAAGGTGTGCAGAAGCACAAAACTACCTCATCCAACAGAAAGTGATTAGAAGGATTGCGGTGTGGGGACCGGCGAAACATCTCTCGCTCTTCGGACGGGCATTGGTCACTAACGTGGCACTGTTTGCCTTACTTTGGTATGTAGGGACAGTAAGAGCATTGGGCAAACAGCTTGTTAAGGTAACACGCAGATTTGCTGCAAAATTCTTGTGGAAGCCGTTCGGTAAAGAGAAATATGGGTTTATAACAAAGGTAGCTTGGGATTTAGTATGCCATCCGAGGGAGGAGGGCGGACTGGGTCTGTTGGATCCAGCCAACCAAAACGCAGCGCTACTAGCCAAATGGCTAATCAGAGCAATCGGAAGCAATGTCGACGATCATTGGATCTTACTTGCGGAAATGATCTTGGCCAAAGAATGGCACTTAACTCAACCAAGGGATGTATGGATCTGCTGCATGTTAGATTCATATCTGCGCAGACACACGCAGTCTCAGTTCTGGAACGACGTACTCAACGCCTGGAGAAAGATTGGTCGAAGGCAATGGATCAGACCGACCACCAGAGAAGAAGTCTTGCTGCAGCCCCTCTTCGACAACCCAGCCATCTGGAACGTGACGGGCAGGCCATTTTCGGCAGGCACTGCACCTGATGCTTTTGGAAGGGCCTGGATTGAGAGAGGAGTTCTGAGGGTGGCAGACATCTGGGATGAGCTCAAGGGCTGTTGGGTCGAAGACGAGATCCTGAAACTCAAACTGAGAAGGCTGGGGCAGATGGGGGAAAGAGCGGCCCAACTGAGAGCCGCCATCTCCCCGGAGTGGAAACGCCTTCTGAGTCCAGAAGGAGTCGCCCCTCCGGGGACCTGGTTTACTGTCAGAAATATCAACGAAGTCCCAGAAAAGTCGACAGAATTTTGGAAGTTAACAATGCTTGATACAGGCGGAAACAGAAGGTTTCAGAAATGGGAGGGTACCCCTCAATCGGACACACTGCAGCTATGCTCTTCAGAAGCTAAACCCCAGCATAATCGACCTCTGGGAAACCTGATGCAGGTCAGAGTGCGGGAAGTCTGTAACGAAAAAGGTGTGTGGACTTGCTCATTATGGGCAGAAGGGGCCCCCATCCGCACACTACGCCTAGACCCCAAGCTTTGGTCTTGGAGGGGCTCCAAGAAGTTCCCAAGTGAAGCATGGCTCACAGATTACAGCTCGGCGGGAGGCCATGAGCTACTAAGGACCGGGAGAACCCCAGCTTCGGTGGCAATCAGCAGGTGGACGCAAGTCAGAACGGCCAGCGAGGAGAAGATGATCCAAGACATTCGCAGATGTTGGGCTCAGCTGCAGGGAATCCCACTACAAAGAGCAGCAGCGCTGTTATGGCTGCTATCTCTGATGTCCACCCCTTCGGCAGTATGGCTAGCCGAAAGAGGGATGAAGATCTCAATCGAGTGCTCCAGATGCAAGTATCCGTTTGAATCCATTACTCACCTGTGGTTATACTACCCTCTGTCACAGAGGATCTGGGATTGGTGGAGAATCCAATGGGAATGGATAAGCGGACCTGTATTCGATTGGGATGATCACTGGACGCTGTTTGGGGGAGTGCCACAGGAATTTTGTTTGGACAAGGGTTGGGGCTATGCCGCTCAAACCCTCAGGGCATGCCTGTGCCTAGTACTGTGGGAGGTCAGGAACAAGAAGACATTTGAAGGACGATTCATCTCCGACAAGAGCATTAAGGAGGCCACCAAAACACACATTCGAAGATCCATAAAGGTGGACTGGAGACGGAAAGTCTCGTGCGCCAAACAGAGGGCCAGTGGACTCACATGGTTCACAGAAACATGGACGGCCAAAGACGGTAAGCTAAGGTTGAGCGATTGGTTGCTGAGGGAACGGTGAAGAACCTGGACGCTCGGTTGTACTTCCGCTGTAGGAAGGCAGTAGAAAGTGGCTAGTGGGGATTGGAGGGAGCGTTTCAGTTCCAGTGCCCGTGCTAGGAACACTGGATATTAATAGAGGGCATAGTGCCTTCATTATTTGTTTGTCTGGGGGTTGGTCCCCGCGGGCTTCGTTCCGTAAGCAAAACTGGGTAATGCTCCCAGCCACCGGGCAGACTGTGAGGACCCCGGCCTCGGATTCTGATTTATAAGGGACGTTGGGCCCGATTCCCAACTCGTGCAGCTCCCCACGAATAGAAAGGGGCTAGCTTTGAAGGGGGGGAAAAAAAGAAAAAAAGAAAAAAAAAGAAAAGTACTACCGGTCGCTCAGTGACGAAGTCGGGAAGAGGACGACCACGTACGCGCCCTCACCTCAAAAGCTGAGAGAGAGCAACTGGCGTAGCTCAGTTGGTACACCCCCTGAACTGTTGAAATACAGCCCTGAGTTCGAACTACCAGTCCCAGATGAGTAAAGTGCTACAGAATTCTGAATTACCTACACTCTTCCCCCGAACACAACGCACCCTTATTTTGGCTGTATCTGCCCATACATATACCTTGTATACATTCATTTTTAGGGTGCGTTATGTTCGGGGGAAGACGGGTAGGGCTGGTCAGTTCGACGACGATGGGCCTCGCTGCACTACTCTCGACATGCACAAAAGACAAAGATCATGGGGGTGAATTTTCCATGTTCTAGCGGAAGACTCACTCTCGTTTTCCACATTTCGAGAGTAGTGCAGCGCGGCCCGATATCTCAAGACCGTCGCCCTTTCGAAAAACGAAAAAAAGCTGTGTGAGAACAAGCAAGCGCGCGCTAAGTCCAAATCTGCGAGGAGCGCGCGCGCTAAGTCCAAAATCTGCGAGGTCCAAAATCTGCGAGCGGACGCGGATAGCAATCGTAGCCAGGGGTGAAGTGAGGAGGCTCTGGGGTTCGGACTCAGGTCAGCTTCTGGAATCACCCTCTCCATCTCCTCTGTTCATCTCTTCCTGCTTTTCTCCTTTCCTTGCGAACTCATCTCAACCCTACTCCCGTCTCCCCTTCCTCCTCCCTCTCTCCCCCTCCCCCTTCTCTCTCTTGTCTCTTCTCTCTCCCTCTCTCCTCCTCCTCCTCCTCCTCCTCCTCCTCCTCCTCCTCCTCCTCCTCCACTCTTGTTTGCTTGCTCCCTCTATCTTCTTCCTCCGAATCCAATGTACGGTCATTATACCCGTATTTGGACCGAAAGATACCCCAAATTCAGCTATAACGACCGTGCGTTGTGTTCGGGGTAAGAAGGTAGGCGGTCCCCACTCTTGTTGGATATCAAACGAATGCACGCCTGCTAACGAAAAAGCCTCGCTCCACTACTCATCACATGCACAGAAGACAAAAAACTATGGCAGTGCATCTTTCCATGTTCTAGCGGGAGATTCATTCGCAATTTGTCACATGTGGCGAGTAGTGGAGCGAGGCCTTAATGTCATCAATCAACTCCTTGGACACTGTCTTCTGTCCTTCCCACACCACTCTCGAAATGTGAAAACGACAAAAATGTGGCGGGTGCATCTGGCCATGTTCTAGCGGGAAGTTCATTCTCTTTCGCACATTTCGAGAGTGGTGTGGCGATGCCCTTCCCCTCTGCAATGCCGTCGCCGATATCGGGATCGGGTCGCTGTCCAGAGGGGGAGAGTAATCAAACACAATTGAGGATGATTAAGGATGAGAGATGGTAGATGGTACGTGGCGGTAGGGTGACAGAGGGAGGGAAGGAGGGAGCCATGGAGGCAGCGACAGATGGTAAGTGTGGCGCTAGGGTGAGAGAGGGAGGGAGGCAGGGAGGGAGGGAGGGAGGGAGGGAGCCATGGAAGGAACTGCACCGCTGAAAGAGAAAACACGTGGAGGCATCGGTAGCATGGCCATCTAGAGACTGACCGAGAGCGCACTCCCGCTACGACTTTCCTGGATGTATTCGACTGCAATTACGGCCGTTTTTGGATGTATTTGATCGTAATTACGGTCGGTTTCCTGGATGTATTTGAAGGCAATCACCGTCGTGTTTGGATCTGTCCTTGATGTACTGGACCGCAATGGCGGTCGTTGCAGTCGGTCCTTGATGTATTTGACCGCAATCACGTCCAGAGATCAGTCCTAAAAAAAATTCCTACCTACGAGTCCGCCCTGACAGGAATTTCCGTTCATGCAAACATCCTACATCTCTCTCTCTCTCTCTCTCTCTCTCTCTCTCTCTCTCTCTTTTTCCGTTTGTTCCTTTCTCTTTGGTAGAAGGCATACCTCTATTTGGCGGGAAACCCCCCCTCTATTTGGCGGGAAAGTGCGTGTAGGCTGCTCCTCTATTGGGCAGGAAAGTGTGTATAGATTGCGTAACCATATTGAGGGACGGTGCCACGCGGACATGCCACGTGGACTGTCTTGTCACGTGTACGTTGTTTTGCCACGCTGACGATATCTTGCGACTCGAACGTGTCGTGCCACGTGGACGGTGTCTTGCCATGTGCACGTGGACACTCGTGCCACGTGGACGGTGTCTTCCAGACCCGATCCCGATCTCGCCGTGCCACGTGGACGGGGATTGCCACGTGGGCGCTGTCGTGCCACGTGACGGTGCCTGCCTGACCCGATCCCGACGTGCTACGAAAAGCAAAACCGGCATTGCCACGTGAACGGTGCTACGTGGACGGTGTCTTCCAGACCCGATCCCGCCGAGCCGCTTGAAGGGGGAATTGCCAGGTGAGCGGCGTCCTGCCACGTGGATACTGTCGTGCCACGTGGACGGTGTCTTGCCATGTGCAAGGCACGGCGAGATCGGGTCTGAGAGGGAAAGAGAAGTTAAGGAAAAAAAAGAAGCAAGGGAGGGGACGGGGGGGGTTCTTTCTTTCTTCTGTTCCTCTTTCTCCCCCCCGCGGTGATGTGCAAGGCACGGCGGGGTCGTAGTACGAGGTGAAGAAAGGACAGGAAGAGGAAGAGGAAGAGGAAGAGGAAGAGGAGGAGGAATAAATATTAGTATGGTCAGATTTATCTTCTTGTCTTTTCCTATTCCAGGCGGCCGCGATGTGTTGAGCCGAAGATGGAAGGAGTGGGGCGGGAAGGGCATGCGAAGAAGAATTGGAAAGCAGCAGCAGCAGCAGCGGAAGAAGAAGAAGAAGAAGAACAACAACAAGAAGAGGAATTGGAAAGAAGAAGAAGAAGAAGAAGAAGAAGAAGAAGAAGAAGAAGAAGAATTTGGAAATGAAGAAGCTTTATCGAGCCAGCAACGTCTTCAGACTCGACTCTGCGCGAGGCACCTCTCAACCGTGTGGTTGGGTTGCCATAGACTGACAGCAAATTGCTTCTTCTTCCTATTCATGAAGAGATTCTTCTTCTTCTTCTTCTTCTTCTTCTTCTTCTTCTTCTTCTTCTTCTTCTTCTTCTTTCTCCTTTCCAATTCTTCTTCTTCTTCTTCTTCTTCTTTCCAAATTTTCTTTCTTCTTCCTCTTCTTCTTCTTCTTCTTCTTCTTCTTCTTCTTCTTCCCTGCACTGCTTCCCTTTCCTCCTTTTTTTGTTTTTTGTTTTTTTGGAGACTTTTCCCGTTTTATCGGTTCCCACTCGAGAGATTACTTTACAGCCTACCGGTAGCAGTTGGGTAGAATGTAGGAAACTCATACAGATTAGGATCCAGCCTCAAGAAAAGGGAAAAAAAAAAAGAGAACAAAAAAAAAGAAAGGGAAAAAATAAGAAAAGAAATAAATTAGAAAGGAAATAAACAAGAACAGGAAAAAAAAAAGGTAAAAGAAAAAGGGATGAGCCTCACGTGCCCACTGTTTTTTTTTATCGCTGGAGGAAGACAACACAGATATCAAATGAAGTTCATATCCTCCTTCCTTGTATTTCTGAGTGAGTAAAGGACCAGGGCTGTTAAATACTATACTCTGTGTGTGTGTGTGTGTGTGTTTTCTCTGGGGGTGAAGTTGTTCACATCCTCTGCATCTATGAGTGAGGAGCACTCCCTTAAAAAAAAAAAAAACAAGAGAGGACTTGCCCTTGACCTTGGCCTTATTCTGCCTGCCTACCTGCAGGTTTCTTTCCCTCCCTCCCTCCCTCCCTCCCTCCCTCACATCCTCTGCTGTGTTTGCTTTTGTCAAGTTCATATACTGTACTATGCTCATAGTGTTTTCAGTGCTTGGAGGATAACAGTAGGGCTGTTAATACTGCTGTTGTGCTTGCTTTGGGGGATGAATATGTTCACATTTGATACTCTTCAAAACAATGGATGAGTGAGGATCACTCCCTGAAAATGCGAGAGGACCGGCTTATTCTCCCCTGCCTGCAGGTTGGTTTCTTCGCTGATTGATTTTCATTCTCTCTCTCAAGTGCTGTCAGTCAGTCACTGTCAGTCAGATGGCGGACATGCTCGCTCCCACGAGTAGGCACAAGTTCGTTCACAATGGACAAGTTGTGTATGAATGGGACCAGGCACTAGAGGAAGTAAATATATATATACAAGTTCCACAAGGAGTGCCAACGAAGCGATTGATTTGTGATATCAAGACGAGCCATCTAACGGTCGGCATTAAGGGTAATCCACCATACCTGAATCACAAACTGGGAGGGTCTGTAATAACCGACTCATCGTTCTGGACGATTGAGGACGGTACGATGCACGTGACACTCCAGAAGCTGGAGAAAGGAACACCCTGGACAGCGGCAATGGAAGGCCATGGGACGCTCGATCCGTTGTCGGCAGACAAGGAACAAAAGCGGCTGATGCTTGAACGTTTCCAGAGAGAGCACCCTGGCTTTGACTTCTCCCAAGCAGAGTTCTCTGGTCAATGCCCTAACCCCCGCACTTTTCTTGGAGGGATCAATGACTGACGTGACTCTTTGCACTGCTTGCTTTCATAACAATGCCCCCCCCCCCTCTCTCTCTCTCTCTGTCTCTCTCTCTCTCTCCCCGTCTGTCTGTCTCCATGAGATATGATTTGCCACAAAAGGCAGTTGTCTGCAGCAATGGACATACTTGGGGACCAGTTCGTCCCGTCCGTGCGGTGTGTTCGGGTGCTCCAGCCAATGCCGGCAAACGCATCTGCATGGTCCATCTCCGAGTCGATTTGTTGTTGTGTTGTCCTACTCAATCATGGCTCAGTGGTTGTGGAAGCGAAGGGTCGTGTGTGCTGAGTTCAGGTCCCACCGTGGGAACACATGGAGAGGACGATGTTGATCCTGGTCAGTTGAGAGAAGAAAATATCTGATGCCTATTCCAGCAGTGCTTTGAAAGTGGTCCAAGTGAGCAGTGTTTTCATGCTTCATGCTCCTGGTCGTCACATGCTAGAATGTCGTTGGTGCCAGGTTCTCACAGTGAGCAGTTAGTCTCTGCATTCAGAGCAGGTTGGCCCTCTGAAAAAATCGCGGAGCGAGCGAGCGAGCGAGCGAGCGAGAGAGAGAGAGAGAGAGAGAGAGAGAGAGAGGGAGGGAGGGACATTCTGAGGAGTGCAGATGCTGTTTTTGGTGACGAGATTCTCTGGCAAGGTAGGCAGGAAATGTGTCTATAGGATTCAAAAAAAAAAAAGAAAAAAAAAAGGAAATGTGTCTACAGGATTTTGGTGTAATCTGGTCCCTTGCATGGTATGGGAGGGTGGTCTGCAGCGGCTGGGTGATCAAACATGAGCTCAAGGTGCTGTCATGCTTGGCAAATCAGTCAGTGGAGGGACATCGAAATTCTGCTCACAGTAGGAATTTGTGATGGAGAGAGGGATGGAGAGAGGGATGGAGAGAGGAGGGACAGGAGCAAGAGTATTGCAGCGGGGAAGTACGTAATCAATGCTAGACTGCGGATATAAATCTTGCCTTTATCGGGTGAAAGGACCACCGTTAAGGATGCCCCGAGATGGACGTGTCGTTAATTTTTTTGGTTGAGAGTATGAGTGGCTGCAGTGTGTTGAAGTCTCGCGGTCACACCTGGAGGGGGAATGCGTGCGGAGGCGTACAGCAAGCTCATCGTCCTCGCTGCTGCTCTCGGAGGCTGGACAGCACATCACAAACTGACTGAGTGCAGGTAGTACTCGATCTGGCGATCGGTTCCTAAAGGAATGTATGGGTCTTGAGGGTGCAT